TATGACGTACCGAGAAACAAACTTGTATGCCAAAAAATGAAATGATGAAAAATTGGGTGACCCTAAAGGAAAGAATACCAAATATAGAGAATGACAGGCTTATACAAGCTAAGCTGTCAACATTACAAGTAAAACCGCATATAATAATACACACATCTATAGGCTTAAGTATTGCAGATGCAAAGATAGATGGATTATTTAGTTGGAAAATTAAAAGAATTATTGAAGAAATACAGCACGCATATACAATGGAAGCAAAGTATACGTATTGCATATAGGATCGAATTCTATAGAAACTTAAAACTGGTACCAGAAGAAGAGCAAAGAAAACAAATTAAAGATAATTTGGAAGCTATACTGAGTCAAACCAAAAACACTGATGTCATGATCTTACTAGAAACTCAGCAGCTAACAAATGTCATAGAGTGCAAATAGAAGATCTCTTAAAAATTAAGAGAAGTATAAACAAAACTTTATTAACTAAAGTGGTAAGATATAAAAGCCCAAATCAACCACTGAAAGAACACAAAATAGAATGTGTAAAACTATGTTTTGACACACAACACTATTTTGCAGCAGGAAGCGGAAGATATCCAGATGACTATAAGCAAGTCATAGATAAATACAGAAATAAAATATATCTCCTACACATTAACAATGTGATGAAAGAAAGGAAAATTAAACAAAAAGACAGATTTGTGAAAAAAATAAAAGCAACAATATTTGGCTCTAGACAAGATATCCATGCGCTATTATTACAAGGACAGTTATCTCATGAGATATTCAAAAAAATAGCAATACATCCTAAAATAAAAGCAATGATATTAGAAACACCTGGAAGGACAGAAAAACAAAAGCAAGAACAAATATGTGAAGTGTATAGGTGCGATAGTATGTCAAACCTGATGATACACTTCAAACAGATTATCTATGATTCAAATCAGAATTTCAAAAAATAGAAAATAAATATGAAGCACCAGAAATAATAAGCTTGGCTGACCAAGTTCAACGCTTACATCTCAAAGAACAAGAAAGATATCAAGACCCTCAAAAACAAGAAGCAATAGAAAGAATGAGAAGAAAACAAATAGAACAAATGTTATTTAAAACTAATGAAGCATTGCTCAAATATCAGAAATCACCTTTCACAACTTC